ATCATAACCCCTGATTTCTTCTTCTCTACCCCGTTCCTCTTTTTTCTCTATAAACCCTAATTTCTGTTTGTAGTATTTTCCCGCGTTTCTTCTTCTATTTATACCCCACTATCCAAAAAAAAATATATTTTTTTTTTTTTTTAAAAAAAAATATTTTATTAAGATTCTTTTGCATCGTCACGCCAAGGGTCCCACCGAGGATCCATGAACTGCCCGGGTTTCAGAGTACAGAATAACATTTTTTTAAGAAAATAAATTTCTTTGAGTGGGGGTCTTTGACATTTTTTATAGAAAGTGATTGCATGCAGTAGACGGTTAGCTAGNAAATTTCTTTGAGTGGGGGTCTTTGACATTTTTTATAGAAAGTGATTGCATGCAGTAGACGGTTAGCTAGTCTTCTATGTATTCTTCCTACTTGTCTCTCTAGCTGAGGAAAGAAATAAGAAATATCTGTTGCAAATACAGAAACAAACTGGCTCCACCATAAAGAAGTTTTCATTGATTCTCCTAAAATATAAATTGCTGATACAATAGCATCCAATGCTAAGAAATTAAAACCACAAACCTCAGCAGCAAATCTAGGTCTATAAGCTTTACGTTTTACTTGTGCTTGATACCATGAAGTACCTATTAAGCGTTCTACTGCGTGTATTAAAGTATTAACATCTACCTGATTAAGAACTTTTTTTTTATATATATTTCTTAACTGAAATAAATAAAAATGAGGATTTGTTCTTTTTATACATGGATGAAATAATGTTAATACATCTATATTTCGTACCACCACACCTTCACCTACAACTGGTAGACGTACATATGGGTGGTTAGGAATATCAACAACATCATCATCTCCCTCAGCAGCTAAATTTTCATCGTCAGGCGACGGCGCTGATGCAGCAGATGTTGAGGGTTGTTCTTCGTCTATAGAGAGAGCAGAGGGTGGGGTTAACGAAACCTTTTTCTTTTTCTGCTCCTTGCTGCTTACCTGTGATGCTGAGTCTATGGGTGCCGGGGGGGCCAGAGCTCCTGCTGTATCTGCTGGGTGATGCTCTGCAGGAGATGCAATGGAAGCAGCAGCATCCGAGCTTGTTTCCTGTTCTTCTTCTTTCTCTCTACTCTCTTGAGACAGAGAAGAAATCGAAGAGGAGGAGGATGCAGGTGACCCCGTTGACGGCGAGGATAACCCCTGCGTCATCTCGTGTTCTTCAGCAGCAGCAATCAATGCAGAAACAATTCCTTCTATCTCTCTCACCGGGTCTGACCCCAACTGAGAGGTTGATCGCTGCTGCATAAGCCCCAAGTCATACTCAAGAGCCAAGCAGTCTTCTATAACGGCAAGTTCATCATCATCTACAGCATCCCCACGCTCAGCCAGTCTACGGGGTGTATGCGTAGACACCTGTTTTCTGCTCCTCAGCAGTTTACACACCGAAAAAAGAATCAGAACAGCTGCAACAGATATAATAGCCGCAACGATAAGCAGGGGAGGCCTGTACTGCAACCGTGCGCGCGTGCAGGAGCCCTGAAAACAATGAAGAGGTGGGTGTATTGAGGGCCCCTCATGCTCTTCTCTTTGTTTATGAAGAGGTGAAGAGGCAGCAGCTGTTTCCTGTTGCTTTTCTGTTGGTTGCTGTTGGCTGTATGCGGCAGCTGGTGACGTTCCATCGATAGAGAAATGGCTGGATCGAGATGCAGGCAGAGCAGGAGAAAGCCGTATATTTACTTCGTTTTCTACTGATGACAACAAAGAATTAAGCTTCGTAGAATACGGTGACATCGTCTATGGAGNTTTACTTCGTTTTCTACTGATGACAACAAAGAATTAAGCTTCGTAGAATACGGTGACATCGTCTATGGAGATGAAAAACACAAATTTCAATTAGGGTTTCTGATATATGAGACTCGACTCGCGGGCAGGGAGCCAGAGTGCAGCCCCCACATGAATTTGCACAGAACAGCTTTCTTAATGTTTTTATTTAGATAATTAATAAATAAAATATCAATTCAAATGAAATGAAAAACGAAACAAAAACACATACAGTACAACATCACTACAGAGTCGGGCGATGGCTGGAGTCCACCATGGCTGCCAACCGCGAGCGGACTGACCGGCCTTGTTCTTTATCCTTCTTTTGTCTGTTATGCTGTTTTTTGAGAGAAAAAATATTTTTTTAACAAATAACTAAAGTGTTGACGCATGCTATGAAGGGGGTATCAGGTGGGCTTGCTTGTTATGGAACATGAATCGCCGAGCGTAAGCACAAGTGAAACGTGCTCTGGATGAGGCAGAAGATACGGCTATACTTGCATGCAGGCTACCATCTGAATACCAAACAAATATTTGTTTCTAAGAAGTTTTTGCATGTTTTTCACATTTCCACAGAGTGTTTTTGCATGCAGAAAAAGGACGCATGAGGGGGCTCGTACCAGTTCGTACGTGCATCTCTTCTTGAGCGTATACTGGCTATGCGGGGCCAGCAAAGAACTAAAAAACTGTCTAAAGAGTTAGTGTATGTAATGAAGGTTGCCTGTGGTAGCATGGGTTGCGTGAAACTGGTGCGGGTATATCCAGTTGACCGGCTATGCGGGGCCAGGTTGATGATCAAAATTTCTATAGTGATAGTTAGCGCTTGGCTGCGGTTGTTTATCGGGTTACCTTGCAGCACAAGCTGCGGAAATGTTCGTGGGGGCTCATCTCAGGCCCGCTCATTTCGCACCAACCCCAGTACTTACGACACCTCGAGGCTGCAGTGGAGCTCAGTAACTTCATAGGAACTGGTTTCTTAAGCAAGTTTGTTTATGATTAAAATTGCAGTTTACAACAATTCTCAGGTAATATGTGCGACTCGCTCTATATATAGAAGCACGGCTTGATTCATAGGGACAGGGGTGAAAGAAAAAAGCCTGACACCCCACAGCGGGGCGGCCTGGTGCACAACAGAAATTCGAAGAGAAAGAGCCTTGAAAAAAGTTTCCAAACATTTCCCTAATCTTTCCGTCAAAAGGTCGGCCGCTTTTCCTCCATCACAATGGAGATCGACCAGCATCTATCTGCCTTCCACTGGCGGAGCGGCAAACAGCTGGGAGTTATGTCGCGCTGAAGCAAGTGTAGTATCCGCATCCCATCAGGTGGAAAATGTATTTTTCATAAGATTAAATCATGAAGAGTGCTTTTGCCTTTGATATCCATCCAGATATGACAGGCGCCCCGAGATGGAGGCGTGTGAGTTGCTTGGTCATGTCGAATCGTGTTTCGTATTCAACCCGACGGTATACAGTTGCTAGTGGCAATTCTTTCATTAGAAGGAAACGCACAACTATGGTGAATACTTCTCATGCAGGACACCACTCCTCCCTAGCAGTTGCAGACCATGAAACCTTCCGAGATGCTTTGCGACCCCGGCATTTTCCCCCGTCGGCAAGGCAACTGGCTACTGCAGAGCTAAGAAGGCTTAAACAACGGAAGCTGTCGACAGAGCACTACATGAAGAAGCAACATTCCCTTGTCAACAGGAATCAAGCGTTGTACTAGGAGTCACGGCTTCTCAGCAAGCCAACCCTGCCTACTCGTTGGCACAGCCTCTGCAACTACGCGGAAGGCAGATAAAATAATCGACGCAAGTATGGTCGGGAAATGCGGACCTAGTTTACAAGTGGGTCTTATTACCATGATACGGAACTTGAGGCCCCTACGCAGTGCAGAGGCGCTGCACGGAATGATGGAGAAATGCGTGCGTTCAGTGTGGTTCGAGGACCGTAGTCATGGGGGATTATATCCAGTTGGCAACTGAGGAACAGATGAATGTGGCACACTTGAAGGAATAGTTCTGGGATGTACTAAAAGGCAAGGAACTACCAGCGGCGAGGCCACACGCTGCGTCAAGTTCACTCTCGGGGCAGCCCCAAGCTTGTTCCAAGGTACCGGCGACGCCCACATCTTGAAAAGGAAATCTAGCGGAGAAAGTGCTAAGAAAAGGCAAAGCTCAACCATCAACTAGCGTGCTTGGGCACAATCCGGCGACAATCCGCGCTGGCGAGAAAGAACGGCTGGAGCGTCGGCGTCAGAAAAATTACGGCGAAGAAAGAGGCTTCGATGTGCCCTATTAAAGAACTACTTGACCGTTCTCATCTTTTCCTGGGTGGTCAGGGAGACGAGGGCATCTGCACCTTGGGGGGCAGGGAGGGGCAGGCGTAGCATGGCCTGTCTGGAGTTGGAAGATGCACTTCTACTTGCGTGGAGGCCGTCTCCTGTGGTGAAATTAAGTGTTTTACAACTGTATNGTTGGAAGATGCACTTCTACTTGCGTGGAGGCCGTCTCCTGTGGTGAAATTAAGTGTTTTACAACTGTATACAGCTGGCGCATGAATTATAAGGGCTTTGGTGGTGCGTTCCTGTGGTGTGGCCGTGCAGCACTCCCTCTCCCAAGGTGCGTTGCAAGTCACGACAGGACGCCTCTTCTCTACACCGGCTCCAGGCCCTTCAGCTGCTACCCCCAGGGTTCATGGGGACCGAAGAGGAGATTATATGCTTTGTGGAACCCCTTATTTTAAGTGTAAGGGTGTTGACTCCACTGCAGCTCACCACGGTCCTAAGAAAAGATCGATGACTATCGTCACCCAGAGAGGTGTCTGGCCCCCGCCGCAGCGCAGCAACTTCTCCTCTAACGAAAAGGCTCCAGTTCTACTTTGCTGCTGCTGCCCCCGAACAGCCGCTTCAAAAGCAGGCAGCAGCAGCAGCAGCAGCAGCCCTACTCACCACCCTGCCCCCCACAGCTGCTGGGGGCCCCCAGCAGCAGCAAACTCGGGGAATATAGGGGCAGCAAGAGGTGTATTTGTTTAGGTCAGATGAGCGTATTATAAACGCGAGTGTAGCAACTGTTTCGTTCTGAAGACAAAACTAATAATTTAATGCTCGTTGACTCTCCAAGCTCCTGCAGCTGCTGGGGCGGATCTGCTGAGGTATAACTGCTGTGCTGCTGTTGTTAGCGTCTGTCTCTTCGTAGTGAACTTGTCTATATTTCGCTTCAGCAAATATGCATCTACTTGCCTGCAGCAGCAGCAGCAGCAACAGCCGGAGCAGCAGCCGCAGCAGGAGCAGCAGTAGATCGTCTCAGCCCCGCGGCTTCTGCAGTCTCGAGAGCAGACAAATTGCTCGTTTTCCTCTTTTTCTGTTTTAATATTATTTATTTCGCTGCGAGTATTGAGAGAAAGCAGCAAAGTGATGAGGGGCCCCCCGTCCGATACCCACTAAGGTCACTTTCGGCGGCAAGAACTGGTGCAGCAGCAGCTGCTGCAACAGCTGCAGCAGCAGCTGCTGCTGCTGCTGCTGCCAAACAACACGGCTGCAAAGGTTGCTCAGCTAGAGGGAGCATCGAAGCAGAGCAGACACAACGCGGGTGACGAAGCCTGCAGCATCAACTCGAGCAGCAGCAGCAGCAGCAGCAGCACTAGCAACAGCAGCAGCCGCAGCAACTTCAGCAGCACTTGCAGCAGCATCTGTAGAACCTGACCCTCTCAAGTCATCATCTCCATCGCAGGCGTCAAAAGGCGCAACAGGGAGGCCTTCAATCCTAGGCCGTTGATCTTACATACCTGCTGCTGCTGCTGCTGCTCTTGCTGCTGCTGCAAGTCTGCAGTTTTAAGCACGCCAGTCACACCAGCAGCACGTGCAGCAGTAGGTGCAGCTGCTAAGCAGTAAGACTGCTACTGCCTTACTTTTGGGCTTGTGAAGAAGGCTGGCGCTGCCGCTGCTGCTGCTGCTGCTGCACCAGACAGGTGCGCGGCAACAGAGCTGCAGCAGCAGCAGCAGCAGCAGCAGACATTGCTAAGGGACTTATCTTTGTCGTCTGCCAAGGCCCCACTAACAGCCAGCAGACCTCACCTAGACGCTGCAGCGGCCGCAAGCATCTGCTGCTCCAGGACGAGGCAGCAGCAATAGTAGCAGCAGCAGCAGCACTAGCAGCAGCAGCAGCACTGACTGCTGCAGTCGAAGCAGGTAATTTGGAGGGAATTCCGTTGAGAGACAAGGAGCGCCACATGAGGGAGCAGCAGCTGCAGGAGCAGCAGCAGCAGCAG